CAACCCTAACCATTTTCCTCCTCTCGCACAAAGACAAAATTAGCTGATTGTAGCGGAAGTGCGGAGGAAGAAAACCTTTTCTTTCATATTAGTGAGTATTGTTTTTCTGTTTGCCTAATATAGATAACTAAAGAACCTTCATAACACAAGTAACAACATTACTCTTCTTATATTGCGCTTTCCTATTCTATAAGAGCACCCTACACCTGGTGTTTAAAAGAGGACCTGCAATATTTACACAACATAGTGTCACCAAATTTTCAAAAGTCATATTAGATAGAGAAGCTATGAGTCTCTCAAACAATGATTGTATTTTTATTTTTATTTTTTTTTGTCATTGTAAAAAAGTTATTTATCTATTAATGGTACCATGAATGGAAAAACTAAAATATTTTTATACGCTCTTTTTTCCCCTATTCAGGCTCTCTACTAAAATAATGGCTCCTACATTCAAGTGCTTCCACTTTAATTTGAGCTTTATAGTAGGTCAATAATAAGTCAATAAGTCAATAATAATGGTGGGCATGTGGTGGGGGAAGCTGAAGGGCCAGATTAATTGGACACATACTATACAGATGAAGTCACAGTAATTATTTTATGTCTGTGTGAATATTGAGTGAAAAATGTGTTACAGTAAATGACTGCCAAAGTCGTTTACCCACAGGCATCATTGGACATATTGTATCATCCCTCGTGATGCTCTCTCGAGCCTATACTGAAGTCACCTTTGTTTTTGTTTGTTTATTTATCTTTTTTGCCTGTGGGGTCTCTTTGTATTTTGTCTGACTTTCAGCAAGCGGACTGCTGCTTCATCAGATTGAGATCTTGGGATGTTTCCAGGATTTTCTAAATGGGGTGAGACAGGAGGGACTGACAATAAAACAGAGGAGCCCACAGGAAATCACAATATTTAATCAGAAATAAAATTAGTGTAGAAAATTCACACTTAAAAAAATTAGGCATGATTTTAAGGCTCGTGTGCTGCCCTGTGTTCAACCACGCATTTATTATATGAAATTTGGAGCTGCACAAGTTTTAGACATAATTTTTGGTTGAATAATTGTTTTTCAAATTAGGAAAAAAATATTTAGATTGCCTGCTTAAGTAACAATTATTGTATGAGTGCACAAGTTGTATAGTCAAGAGGTGTGCCATCTCATAGCTCCATTCTAGAAACATCCCAGCACTCAAAATGGGAGTTTTTACACCGTGCAGATGATTTTCCGATCTGCTTGTTTGCCTTTTTCTGTTATTTCCTTAAGACAAAAAACACCCTGAAAATCAACTACCTTTGATATCTTTCTGATAAACATTTACTATCACCATTTTTCCACTTCTGTGGTCACTTGATTATATACTGAGTCAATCTAAAGGTCAAAGCTCAACTCTTAATTAACTCTGAGCCATGTGTGAGATCTTCTGTGCATGAACTAACACTGAAATGACAACCGACTACCTTAGAAACTTTTAGTAACCAAGTGTCAAGCCAATTACTTTTGAGCCCCAGCAATTTAAAGGACCGTATCTAACAGTCTAAGTTTTTGCAATATTGATGTAACCTCAAAGTGCAGCTATGGCTTGGCACTTTAACGTAGTATTCATTATTTTCCTTCAAATCAAATATGCTTAGTCAAAAAGCATGACGAACAAAAAGCATGTAACTGCCCAAATATAGTACTGGAATTTATACTGTCTTCTATATGTATCAGTGACTATCCTGACATTTTACGAACTCAACTGACTGATTTTTACAACCTGAAAGTGTGTGTGAATGCTTTATGCCCCACAGGTAAAACTGTTTGATTTAAACAAATTACTAGCACCACCCTAACCCATAAAATGTACATAATGAACATCAGATAATGAAATGCAAAGAGTTCAGGCAATAATACCTAAGACAGGAAATTGATTGTCCAATCCATCGAGGTAAGAAATTTGTTTGCAATGGGAATGTGCACACTTGTAAATCCATAAAAAGCAACCAGGAGGAGAAGCCTGAAAAGCTTATTAACTCATTCACTGCCAATGGCTGGCAGTGAAT